TCAATGGCAAGAGGTTCTACAAGGACTTTATGCTCAATGTTAATTTTGACGGTGAGTCCAAGGTGGAGACACGGTTTAGCTGCCAAACTGGAAAGCGATGGGTGGAGGGACAAGGAAGAAGGAGTCCCAGATTAGACCAAACACCCTCCAATTCCTCCAGCCTGCCCACACTCAGGGACCTGTGTGCCATGGGCTGTGGTTGTCCCAGCCCACCATCATCCTTGGGAGGCAATCCGGGCTTCCTGTCCCCAGTGGAGGCATGTGTAGAGAAGCTGGTGACCAACTCCATCCTGCTACAACTGGGTGGGACCAGCCCCATAAGAGACCCTCGACAGCATAGGTCCTCGCAAGTGGTATGATTTATTTACATTTCAAGGATCAAACTGGAGGGATACCCTTGATCAGGGACCCACATAGTTTGGGATGACTTAGAAGCATGTCCTCTCTGACCTGGGCCAAGACTGACTATCCAGGTGTCACTGAGAGCCATGGAGGCTGCTCAAGGTCCCTCTTTGCCCCTGCAGAGATGGCTGCAGCTCATGGGCTTAGGGAGGTAGTGCTCCACCTTCACTTTCATACACTTAATGCATGCATTGGCAGCAAGGATGAGAGTGAAGGCAGGAAACAAGTTGGACATTTGCCTGTGGCCACGGTGGGATGTGACCCTTTGAGGGAGTCCTGCCCCCAGGCTGGGAATGAGTGTTCTCCTGCCCCATGGCAGTGACTGTCTCCTTCTCCTCCCTCCAGCTCCATTCAGGCCAGCAGACACTGAGAGTGTTGTTCGATTTGACCGTTACGGCGATGGGATCGGGCGCTACAACATCTTCAACTATCACCACATGGATGGGCGGTATCGGTACCAGAAAGTGGGCTACTGGGCAGAGGGGCTCATCCTCGACACCAGCCTCATCCCATGGGCTGAGACCTCCATCCCTGTGTCCCAGTGCAGTGACCCCTGCAAGAAAAATGAGATCAAGAGCATGCAGCCTGGAGATATCTGCTGCTGGATCTGCATCCCCTGCCAGCCCTACGAGTACTTGCTGGATGAGTTCACCTGCATGGACTGTGGGCTTGGTTACTGGCCCAACGAGACCCTGAATGGCTGCTATGAGCTCCCCCAACAGTACATCCGCTGGAAAGACGTCTGGGCTATTGGTCCCGTCACTATCTCTTGCCTGGGGTTTATCTCCACCCTCTTCGTTATCGGAGTCTTCCTGAAGAACAACGACACCCCCATTGTGAAGGCCTCTGGCCGAGAGCTGTGCTACATCCTCCTGACTGGGGTCCTCATGTGCTACAGCATGACCTTCATCTTCATTGCAAAGCCTTCCACCGGGGTGTGCACGCTCCGGCGCCTGGGGCTGGGCACGTCCTTCGCCGTCTGCTATTCAGCTCTCTTGACCAAGACAAATCGCATCGCCAGGATCTTCAGTGGGGTGAAGGAAGGGGTCCAGCGCCCCCGGTTCATAAGCCCTACATCACAGGTGGTCATCTGCATGGCCCTCATCTCTTGCCAGCTGATCATCGTCTTCATCTGGCTGCTGGTGGAGACTCCCGGCACAGGCAAGGAGACTGAGCCTGACAAGAGGTACATTGTCACCCTCAAGTGCAACAACCGTGACTCCAACATGCTCATTTCACTCACCTACAATGTCCTCTTGATTGTCCTCTGCACGGTCTATGCCTTCAAGACACGGAAATGCCCTGAAAACTTCAACGAAGCCAAGTTCATTGGGTTCACCATGTACACGACCTGCATCATCTGGCTGGCCTTCTTGCCCATCTTCTACGTGACCTCCAGCGACTACCGTGTAAGCGTTTGGGGGGACTCTAACAGGGCTTGATTTAAGTGGTCGTGGAGATTTGGGCCCCATGGGGTTTGTGACTAGGGGATGTGTTTGCCTGGGAAAGGGTCTTCAGCCATGCACCTGATGATGGTCACCTCTGCACTGGGATGTTCGGGACCAGGTGAAGGATCCCAAAGGGTTCTGGCTGTCCCTGAAAGGAGTGGCTGAGGGGACAATGAATCCTGGGGAGAAGACCCACCCCCACCCCAGCACTCACTTGGGTGAGAACAGGAAATGGCCCTAAGCTCTCCAGAGACCTTGGCAGCCTGACCATGGAGGAGCGATTGCCATCCTTCAGCCTTGTGACATGAAAGCATGAGACAGCCCTTGGCTCATCCAGACATCCCCTCCAGGGCATGAATGTCAACCCCAGGGCCAGACTGGGGTGCTGAGCCAGGGACTGGGGAGCACAGAGTGCACCCTGCAGTACCTCAAAGCCCCTAGCAAGGGCAATTTCTTGACAGGCCTTGAGGACTCAATGGGGGCAGTTGCAGTTGGGGGCTTCCAGAGAGGACCTGCGTCCCCCCAAGGGAGTGGGCACTAGGGTAGAGGGTGCTGGGCTCTGGCCCCAGGCGCTGCCCCAAAGCAGCACATTGGCAGGGCCAGGGCTGCTGCTCAGGGTGTACCTGTTTTGCAGGGGTGACATGTAGTCATCAGAGCAGTGTCTGTCCTCTGCTCGTGGGTCTCCAGCAGGACTACCCTGATGGAGGGATGTGGTGCAGGGTGGGATGTCTGCAAGGTGCATCCTGTGCCCAGTAGGGCTGGCCAGAGCTAGTGAGGGCTTCACCATGCCCTGCTTGGGGCAGAGGGCTGGTGTGTGGAACACCTGATGCCCACCCCTGTCTACAGGTCCAGACCACCACCATGTGCATCTCGGTGAGCCTCAGTGGCACTGTGGTCCTTGGATGCCTCTTCACTCCCAAGCTCCACATCATACTCTTCCATCCTGTGCCCAGTAGGGCTGGCCAGAGCTAGTGAGGGCTTCACCATGCCCTGCTTGGGGCAGAGGGCTGGTGTGTGGAACACCTGATGCCCACCCCTGTCTACAGGTCCAGACCACCACCATGTGCATCTCGGTGAGCCTCAGTGGCACTGTGGTCCTTGGATGCCTCTTCACTCCCAAGCTCCACATCATACTCTTCCCAGAA